TTCACCTTCAACATCTGTCTCTATTTCTCAGATGAGGTATTGTAACTATTTACACTATTTACATTGTTCGGAATGTTGTCCTCATCTTTATTGCCATATTCACCTTCAACATCTGTCTCTATTTCTCAGATGAGGTATTGTAACTATTTACACTATTTACATTGTTTCTGTTGTCCTCATCTTTATTGCCATATTCACCTTCAACATCTGTCTCTATTTCTCAGATGATTTGTAACTATTTAACTATTTACATTGTTTGGACTGTTGTCCTCATCTTTATTACCATATTCACCTTCAACATCTGTCTCTATTTCTCAGATGAGGTATTAACTATAACTACACTATTTACATTGTTTGTTGTTCTCATGTTGTGTCCTATTTCATCTTTTATTTTACATTGTTCGGAATGTTGTCCTCATCCATATTCACCTTCAACATCTGTCTCTATTTCTCAGATGAGGTATTTGTCCTCATAATATTCTTCAACATTTCTCTTTTTCAGATGAGGCATTGTAACTTTTACATTGTTGTTTGGACTGTTGTCCTCATCTTTATTGCCATATTCACCTTCAACATCTGTCTATTTCAGATATTCACCACTATTTACATTGTTTGGACTGTTGTCCCATCTTTATTGCTATTCACGTTCAACATCTGTCTCTATTTCTCACATGATTGTAACTCTTTACACTATTTACATTGTTTGACTGTTGTCCTCATCTTTATTGCCATATTCACGTTCAACATCTGTCTCTATTTCTCAGATGAGGTATTGTAACTATTTACACTATTTACATTGTTTGGACTGTTGTCCTCATCTTTATTGCTATATTCACCTTCAACATCTGTCTCTATTTCTCAGATGAGGTAATGTAACTATTTACACTATTTACATTGTTTGGACTGTTGTCCTCATCTTTATTGCCATATTCACGTTCAACATCTGTCTCTATTTCTCAGATGAACTATTTACACTATTTACATTGTTTGGACTGTTGTCCCCATCTTTAATATTCAACTATTTCTCTATTTCTCAGATGAGGTATTGTAACACTATTTACATTGTTTGGACTGTTGTCCTCATCTTTATTGCCATATTCACCTTCAACATCTGTCTCTATTTCTCAGATGAGGTATTGTAACTATTTACACTATTTATATTATTCAGACTGTTGTTCTCATCTTAAAAGCAGTATACCACAGTGAATATCAGTCAAGCTACAATCTGTTGACCTGACAACGTCTATTCCAAGGAGTACTTTACTTCATAAGAATATAGTGTTGCTGATATGATTCCTATCTGTTTTGGATGTATCAGAGTTTTGAACTGAAACCAAAATAGCAATAGGTACGTCAATTTTGCAAAAAGGAATAAAAATAAAGGTGACAAATTTTGCATTGGAATTGCAATTATTATTTATAAACGGCAGGGCAACAATAAACTGTGGGAAAAGAACTTGATCTTTGCCAATACCTGTCACAATATTTGCAAGTTGGGGGGGGGTGAAATGGAACAGATTCTCAGTGATTTTACTGAATGACCCAGGAACATTAAGGTTATATGTCAGCCCATTTCAGGAAATATATACAGGAAAAAAACATCATTGAAACTGATCTTCATAAATGCCAAGATACAAATTGACTATTCTGGGTTCTGTTTGAAATTCAAGCAAATATCACCTGAAGAAGGCCGGAGCATACAATGGACGAAAAGTTCTGAATGTGACAATAAAGATAAGGACTGTCTATATTTCTGAGATGAGGTATTTATGTACACTATTTACATTATTCAGACTATTGTCCTCATCTTTGTCACCATATTTATTACAACGTTTCAGCCGTTGTACACTCCGGCCTTCTTCAGGTGGTTGGAATGTTGAACTGAACCCTTTATTTTGCTCACTGGGGTAGACTGTTCTAGTTCCATGTGCCATGTACACGACAGAAACGTTGTAATAAATATGGTGACAAAGATGAGGACAATAGTCCGAATAATGTAAATAAAGATAAGGAGAACCATCTCAACAATGTAATTCATATAAATAGGAGGAGAAAAGAGAGACACAAGGAAAGTAGAAACAGAAAAGGCAATTATACTCAGAATCAGAAAGAGAATCTGAAATTAGATGCATAATGAAGACAGAGGGCTTGAAGAATTTAAAACTCACAGGGCATATCAAAACAAAATAGACAGGTGGAGGCCACTGGCTACCTACCAAACAGACTTCTTTGAATTGATGGTGGAAGGAATGCAAAACATTAACAATACTAAGAAACAGAAATGATAGGAAGTTGTGAAGAGCCATAATCACTTACATCTTAAAGGGACATGTTACATAGAAGAAAAAAATTATTCTTCAAGTATTTACTTCCCCATTTTCCTTACATACTCAAAGTATTAAAGGTGTTTTGGGAGTTTTGTTTAGCAGCATATCCACTCCAATGTATACTCTGCCATAATATATGACATCATTGCAGATAACACAGGAAGTCATGCAAACAGTGAAACTTTGACCAAAAACAGTGTGACTTTGACAGCCAAGGTGGGTTTGAACATGTTGAATGCTAAAGGGTTAATCTGGACAAAATTACAAGCAAGCATTTGAATTTCATGCAATTGCCAAATTAATTCATCAGAAAGCCACAGGTGACATTGCAATTAATAATAGTTCAATAGAAGTTTCTAACAGTCAATGATGCTGTAGGGATACGAGACCTGCATAAATTGTTATTATGTGACTTCTCATTGGTCCAGCAAAAGTGGATAATCCAACACAATTCTGGAACCAAGGGTGCTGGGAAAACCATGCTGTACTCATACAGAACAACACCTGAGGGATAAAGCAGTGAGAGGAGTGGCAGCAAATCTTATATCTAAAATATTTTGCTTACTTTCAATTACCTACCCTCAATCACATATGGATGATAAGGCAAATGCAAAAGTATAGAACTAATATTTTTTTTTAATCATTAAACCTCAAGCAAGGTCATGATGCCACTGGAATGCAGGAGCTTATAAGAGGTAAAAGAGAATGGGAAAAATTTATTTGAGGAGAAGAGAGGAAAGGACAATGAAGGAACAGGGTTCAGGAAGACAGAAGATGGCAATTGACATTGCATTTAAATTTTTGAAGATTGTAGGTGGCAGGAAAGCAAGAAATTGGAAGGGATTTCCAGAGGTGAGAAGCGAAAGAAAAGAAATTATTAGAATAGAACATAGGGTTGCATCTAGCTAGTTCAACAGTAAAATGGTGAGACCTAATTGCCAATCTAGTAGCATGCTTAAATTCATGCAGTTGAGGCACTAAGGAAAAGAGATCATTAGAACAATTGCCATGAGATATTTGTAGAGAAGGTCAGTGAGAAAGTGACTGAAGTCAAGATGACAGGTCAGCATTGATTACATTAAAGACCCTTCTTTTAATTTTGTGAAGAATCTCGAGATATACAACAGGAACACCAGAGCATATATGGTGGCAATATTCAATGCACAGACAGATTTATAAATGTGGAAGATGGATTCTGGTGTGAAAAATTGTCTTGCGAGACTTCCCTAGCAGTAGACATATCATTTGATTCGATATAGTCAATCCACTTTATATCAGCGGAAAAATGTGAGCCCAAGAAGGCATAGAGTGTTGCTCCCCTGGAGGTTAGTATCTGCCATGCCGATGGCAGGCAAAACAGATTCTCTGTGGTGATTAAATCAAAGTAGTTTTGTTTTGGAGAAGTTTTAAGTTTATACTAATTCATGACTTTGCATTTAAATAATATCTAAACAATTACTTGTATAACAGATGACAATGTGTGATAGAAACCTGAAGACACATAAAAATGGTAAAAGAGGCCATTATAAAAATAAAAGAGTGTCTGGTTAATGACATATCTATTCTTTATAAGTCCTTTAAGGCTGAAATTTAATTTTCTTGGGACCTTGGAAGTAATAAAATTATCTTATTATGCTTTCACAATTGAATACATGGTAAATGATACTCAGCTTTTGTGCATATGCATGTTTGTGTGGGAATAATTATTAGAGGTGGTGATGTGTGTATTATTCTGTAGGTTTGTTTAAGTTATATCTTGGAAGACAGTTTGATTTAAGAAATTGTAGGATATTATATGGATTAATGACATGAAAGTGTTTGGTAGTATTTTAAACCGATTTGAGTGAAGTCACTACAGTTTGTTAGTATATGTGTATTGTTGGTAATTTTACTATAAATATGTATTCTTGATAATATTTTTTATATAAAAATGTATTTTTATATTTTCATGGTGTTTGTTTAAGGCATCATTATTTGTCCATAGCAAAGTGGATCTAGGAACAACTGAAATTAAGAGGTGGTTCCATGCTCCACAAAACCTCCAATCTCCTGATCAGAGTTCATTGTCATACCCAGAACTACAGAAACAAAGAAGAAAGTGATGTACAATTATATAATATCTAATCTACTACAGAGCAGTGAATGAGACATGAAATTACAGCTATGACATTGTTCTGATGAATTTTGAGAAAGCCAAGGAGAAAACATGAGAATGTTTTAAAGAGAATAGAAGCTAAAAAGAAACTGTTGTTTGCAATCATCAATTTTTGGCACCCGTAATCAAGAAAGAAAACTTTGAAGTCAAGAGAAGCAAGGGCAAAGTATAGTGAAGTCTACCCAAGTGGAGAAAGAAATAGAGCAACAAAAGACAGAAAGTTGTGGAGAGATATGATTAGACATGTCTTGGAAGGACATGACAAAAGGAAAGATGGTTTTAGTTATCAGATAATCTATGTGAAGTGCAATTTTTATGCAAAGATTTCAGATTTGTTTATTTTTCATGAAAGAGGAGGAGTGTGAAAAAGCCAAAAGAGAATGAGAGTAGAAATTACAGAATAAGGGAAAAAGAGGGCAGATAAATGCATGGGGAAAAAATGGGGGCAGGACAGAGTTGGGAAAAGAGCAAAGATTTGAAAAAGTGGAGGAGAGAGAGAACATATATAATATTGGCAGCTAAAGCATAAGAGATGAAGAAGGAGTGGGGAAAGGAGAAGAAAGAGATGGGAGGAAGAGCAAAGAGATGAGAGAGAGAGAGACAGGAGGAAGAACAAAGACATGAGAGAGAGAGGGGAAGAAGAGCAAAAGCAAGAGAGAGAGGAGGACAGCAAAAGCATGAGAGAGAAAGAGAAGGACAGCAAAAGCATGAGAGAGAAAGGGAAGGACAGCAAAAGCATGAGAGAGAAAGGGAAGGACAGCAAAAGCATGAGAAAGAAAGAGAAGGACAGCAAAAGCATGAGAGAGAAAGAGAAGGACAGCAAAAGCATGAGAGAGAAAGGGAAGGACAGCAAAAGCATGAGAAAGAAAGAGAAGGACAGCAAAAGCAGGAGAGAGAAAGGGAAGGACAGCAAAAAGCATGACAGAAAAAGGACAGCAAAAGCATGAGAGAGAAAGAAGGACAGCAAAAGCATGAGAGAGAAAGAGAAGGACAGCAAAAGCATGAGAGAGAAAGGGAAGGACAGCAAAAGCATGAGAAAGAAAGAGAAGGACAGCAAAAAGCAGGAGAGAGAAAGGGGAAGGACAGAGAAAAGCATGAGAAAGAAAGAGAAGGACAAAAAGCATGAGAGAGAAAGGGAAGGACAGCAAAAAGCATGAGAGAGAAAGGAAAGGACAGCAAAAGCAGGAGAGAGAAAGGGAAGGACAGCAAAGCATGAGAAAGAAAGAGAAGGACAGCAAAAGCATGAGAGAGAAAGGAAGGACAGCAAAAGCAGGAGAGAGAAAGGAAGGACAAAAAAGCATGAGAGAGAAAGGGAAGGACAGCAAAAGCAGGAGAGAGAAAAGGGAAGGACAGCAAAAGCATGAGAAAGAAAGAGAAGGACAAAAAGCATGAGAGAGAAAGGGAAGGACAGCAAAAGCAGGAGAGAAAGAGAAGACAGAAAAAGACAGAAAAGAGAGACAGAGATGAGAAAGAAAGAAGGACAGCAAAAGCATGAGAAAGAAAGAGAAGGACAGGAGAGAAAGGAAGGACAGCAAAAGCATGACAGCAAAGGGAAGGACAGCAAAAAAGCAGGAGAGAGAAAGGGAAGGACAGCAAAAGCATGAGAAAGAAAGAGAAGGAAAGCAAAAGCATGAGAAAAGAAAGAGAAAAGGACAGGACAGCAAAAAGCATGAGAAAGAAAGAGAAGGACAGCAAAAGCATGAGAAAGAAAGAGAAGGACAGCAAAAGCATGAGAGAGAAAGAGAAGGACAGCAAAAACATGAGAGAGAGAAGCAAAGCAAATGCATTACAGTGGTGGAAAGAGAGCAAACAGATAAGAGAATATGGAAAGAGAGCAAAAGCATAAGTGTGAGATGATGGAAGAGCAAGAATTCTATTTCTCCCTTTATTATAATAGAACAAATGTATTTGGGAAAACAAAAAGGACCATGTTTTTCTCCAACTCAACTCTAATGAAATAAAATTTTTACCAAAGAAAACAGCAAATTGGAAAAAGGAGGCAATAACAATTTACAGTTAATTTTTAATTTTTTCATTTGTAAAATAAACAAAAATTATAAAATATAAAAGTAAAAAAAAAAAAACAACCCAAAAAACTTTGGTTTCATAGCATTGTTTTACTTAAAAAGGCCATTGACAAACAAACATGACATCTGATTGCTTTTGTAATTTATTAAGATAACAGTTTGCATCATGTGACAAATTCATTAAATATCTTTTTTTGCCTGTCAAAGATGGCTATGGCTATATCCTCCAATTTTTAGGGTAACACACAGGACTGTAAAGAAATTTTAGCAAAGCATTGAATTTATGACAGTGTCTCAAACACAGAAAATTTCAACAGGAATTATTAAAAAAACAAATTGTCAGCTAGAATATTGAATGTGAATGTAACTTCCGACGTCTTTGATATTTGGCCAAAATCAAAACAAGCATTTTTGCATGCATTACAAATTGATAAATTTCTAATACATCATCTGACCAATACTATGTTACATTTGCATGTAATTATGTTGATATCTCTGTGTGACAACGATACACAACTGGCTATGAAGTGAATGTTATTTGTGACATTTATATGCTGGCCTGTGAAATTAATGATTATGTTAACATGTCTGCCTGACAAAGCTTCACAACTGGCTCTTGAGATATTCCAAAGTGGATATAATTTGTGACATTTATATGCTGGCCTGTGAAATTAATGATTATGTTAACATGTCCACCTGACAAAGCTCCACAACTGGCTCTTGAGATATTCCAAAGTGGATATAATTTGTGACATTTATATGCTGGCCTGTGAAATTAATGATTATGTTAACATGTCTGCCTGACAAAGCTTTACAACTGGCTCTTGAGATATTCCAAAGTGGATATAATTTGTGACATTTATATGCTGGCCTGTGAAATTAATGATTATGTTAACATGTCTGCCTGACAAAGCTTTACAACTGGCTCTTGAGATATTCCAAAGTGGATATAATTTGTGACATTTATATGCTGGCCTGTGAAATTAATGATTATGTTAACATGTCTGCCTGACAAAGCTTTACAACTGGCTCTTGAGATATTCCAAAGTGGATATAATTTGTGACATTTATATGCTGGCCTGTGAAATTAATGATTATGTTAACATGTCTGCCTGACAAAGCTGCACAACTGGCTCTTGAGATATTCCAAAGTGATTTTATCATTTCTGGTTCAGACATCACATAGAAGCACTTTAGGTTTTTTCCTAGTAATAGTAATATTAGCTGTCTACTTTATAATGAAACATTCGTCATTCATTAACTGAACAGCCAGTGCTATACAATTTATAACTTTTTTCCCTTCATCGGTCATCAGGCTGAGATATAAGTGTTGTATAAGCTCTACAAACTACATTTTATCTCTCAATTGGGTTTCTGTTTTCAGACATAAGTAGAACTTAGTTGTGTCTTTGTCTTCAAGCACAGCACAACTGAAAATATTATTAAGAGGTGCCAGGTTTCAGGGAAACTGCTGTCTGCTTTAGTACCCTCTCTTAATGCACTGAAGAAGTGGGATTGTCAGTGCAAATGACATGCGGGGACTGGGCTATTTTTGGACATGGCCCAGGTACATACATTCTGGCCCCCATATTAAAATGACCTTGTGTTATGTTCTGCCAGCATTGGGTGCAATTAAATATTAAGTGTAGTATCTGCCTTTAAGCAGAAACTATATTTTATCTTTGAATTGTGTCTCTGTCATCATAGAAAACAACAAATATATGAGGAATGTCTGGTCACAGGGATTCCAACTCTGCAGCAGTACCTCCCTCATATGTAATATTAGCTGTTTCCTTATAGGGAAGCATTTGGCATTAATTGACTGAGCAGCTAGTGCTACTTGTTTTTCACTCCTTCGCCATCATGCTGGGATCAAGTGTAGTAGCTGTTCTCCTCATCTCTAATAGTAATATTAGTTGTTTTCTCATAAGGAATCATTTGGAATTCATTAGCCAGTATTACTGTTAGTCAAAATTTATAAAATTCGTCTCTTAAAACAATTTTTCAGGAAAATAAGTTTCTCCCGTCCTGTAACAGCTATTGCTCTTTCCAGTATTGATGGGGGTTTCTTCCTAACCTTTTGATTGAAGTAGCGTGGATTCTATCATTTTGATTATATCATCATTTTCTTTTTGAGTTACATATGCTATTCATTTTAGTTGTTGCTGTTTTTTGAAGTCCTCAAGTGATGAGGTTTCTATTTGGTAAAAGCAATGATTTCTCAATGGAGAAAATTTTTTCTATTTTTCAAATCAAGTAGTAGCTTTTAATAAAGAAAAAAGAAAAAAAAATCAATCTAAAACATTCTGTTTTTAAATATTTATTTTCTTAATCTATTAAATAGCTTAGGACAGCCAAGTGGACTTTATAATATCATGTCATCTTTTGAGTTTTCAGTTCAAAATGTCAAATACGTCATTCAATGCATTCACAAGAGAAAACAACCACTACCACCACCACTACAACTAATAATAACAAGAACGATTATCTTAATATGAATAAAACAAACAATAATATGCTTTGTTTATGACAGTAGTAATATTGTTATTCAGTTCTTCATGAAATACAAGATTTTTACAAACAGCAACACGAAAATCAAACATGTATAACAATTTAAATATCTGGGAAACGTTTTAGGAGAGGACAGAAAGTGCGACACTAAAGGCACATTGAGATAGCCAAAGATGCATTCCAAAAGTTAAGCAAAGTGTTAAGAAAAATTTCATTAGAAACATAGAAAAGACTGCTAAACTGTTATGTAATACAAGACCTCCTATATAGCAGTGAAGGCTGGACTATTCTTCTAAGATGAAGAAGAGACTTGAAGCACGAGAAATGTGATGATGAGAATACCGTGGACCAAAAATGCTAGCAAAAACAAAGTTTTAAGAGAAAATGGCAACAAAAAGGATCTTTATCCTTATCATCAAGGAGAGAGAGAGTTGAAATTTCTAGCGCAGATAATAAGGAAAGCGGGTATAGAAGTTTAAAGGTTGTGTGTTTGTGCGTATTTTAGGTATGTGCAAGTCCACATATGATAAACGAAGATGAAGTATACAAAAACTTCTACTAGATGTTTCTTCTTTTTTATGATGACTGTAGTGAAACAAAGTTCTTAATGTCTGTTGGTTATGTCTTTTCCCTTTGGTCCAGGAGTTAGGGTATAAGTATTGAAATTAATGATCAAGCACAAGTCAGCCTTGCACAAAAACTGGAACAACCAATGGAAGGTTTGTACATATTTCATTACTGGGAAATTTAAATATCATTATGAAATGCCAGTTTTCTTTTTCTTGGTCCAAAAATTAGTGTAAGTAAGCATAAGCATTGTTATAATGGTTGCACTCAATTCAGCCTTGCGCTGAGTTAGAACAACCAAAGAGGACTACTTCATAGGTGGAGGTTTTTGGAAGACACATGCAAGCTCCATGTGCTGGAAAGTGAAAAAGAGTTCATTTTTTCAGTGAACCAGAGAAACTAACATTCTCCAATAGAAATGTAATTACCATGTGGTTTGGCATCTTGGGGGCAAAGAGGATAAAGAGATTGAAACAGGAAAATGTTTGTCTATTTATAGACATAACCAATATCACCTAGTGGCATTTGATGACAACAAGTAGAGCAATCATATTTACAGTTCCTTTACTCTTAGCAACATGGGAAAATGTTTTGTTTTTATTATTCATTATTATTATTTCATTCATGTTATAGTGGAACACACCTATTCTATAGTTAATAGACTCTCCCACTCTAAGTAGGAGTAGTAAGAGTAACAAGTCAGTCGCTCAGTGGGTCAGTCAGTTGATGCCGGACAACCGTTAGTCAGATACTAAAGTATCAGTGACCACAACTAGATTTCTCTGCATCATTACCTATTATATCAAGTTCCTAACGTTTTGTACGTCGAACCTATTTTAGGACCGACTTAGTACAAATACAAGCCTCTACTGTGAAACCACTCCATAACAATTCATCAATTTTATTTCATTTCCTGAGAAAAGTTAGGAAAATGTGATACTCACAGGATAGTGAAAACAAGCGGGAGAGAGGAAAATAACACATAACCTACCTAGAAAGCTTGAATAAATGGATGGCAGAATAGGGATTAGGAGTGATAACAAAATGTCAAAATTTATTACAAGCTACAAAAGACAGGAAATTGGGAAGAGACATGATCGTCTACGTCACGAGGGGACATGGCACATAGAAGAAATATATTGTTATTATGTTCTCTTTATGAACTTTAAACCTTATCTTTCAGTCTAAAGTGGATAATAAATGAGGTCTAAATTACAGGAGAAACAGAAAACAAGTATTAAAATATGAAACACAAAAGATGCCTTAAAAAAACAAAGTTTCTGCTTTTTTTTTATCTAAGTTTTCATAACTGGCAATATTATCATTTTAAAAGTTTTAAATGAATATCTCTTTAAGAGATATGCCATTTTGCCATTATTAGTTATCAGGTTCGGCCATAGACACATCATTCAACAATATTTCTTAAATATGAAGATGAGTAAAAAAAAAAAAAAAAAAAAAAAAAGGTTAAAAATTAAAAAAAAAGTTTATGAAAAATAATAAACACAAGGATTTATAGAAAAGTAATAAAAGAAGCTGGAAATGTATTAAGCTTCCACAATATTGAATGTCATATGCCATGAAATAGTGGAAAAGGTATTTGTATTTAAAATCAAGATTTAGGTTACAAAACAAAAAGTAAAAAAGATCTTGGAAGGCAATCAACTTGGCATTTTGTCTGTTGGAAGAAAAGTGACGTTTGCAGATACTCAATTGTAGAGATTGCTTAAGGAAATAAT